TTGTATTTTTTGTTCAAGTTACATGAATTTTTGGTGCTCGATATATTTGTCACTTGATGTTCGAAACTTTTTTGGGTGGCGATTTTACCCCGGTCGTAATTTACCATGGTAATTTATTATAATTTTTAGTAACTTACCGTAAATTACGGTAATTTTAATTCGAAAATTTATCGCATAATTTCGCATAAATCGAAATGTAAAGCAGGCAGTATTTGGGTCCGTCGCAGCGGAATAGAAAGTGACTAGCCCAGCATATCGGCTTTATTTCTGATTGGTCAATCACTGAATGTATCGTCACATATTTCACCACATATATCGTCTGACTTTAAACGAATTGGCAGCCATAAAAACGAATTGTCAAAGGATACGACATATAAATTCTGAAACTACACATTTTATTCTACCTACAGTAAAAATTATTCAGAGAATAAAGGAATAATCCAGAAGTTAGTGATGAGGTGCACTTTTTGTCTTATAGGTTAAGATAATTTAGCAATTAGCAAGGTAATTTTGTACCTTGGTTAATAAGTGATAAGTTTTTTTTTTAAAAAAAAAACTCGAAAATAGCGATTGAATCAACAGTACTTACAGGTTGTTTTTCAATATTTTTCTGAATATAGGTTATTCGACCAAGTTTTTAAAAGCTACAATATATTAGATATAGTGCATATGTAGAATATGTACGATTACATGCTATGTTCTATAGTTAGTGTTTGGTTTTTACACGGTTCATAAGCTAAATATCACGTGGCTGGTACGTGTTCGTAGACTTTCCATATCAGCGGGTCAATTAAAGTGGGACGAGGTTTAGGGTTACCTTTTTGATACAATTATAGCTAGTGGGTTATATAGATATCAAGAACGCGAAACCAACAATAGTGACGATCTTGCTTAAATATAATACAATACATGACAGGTTGTTAGCTCGTGTTCACTGTAAGAAAGATGAATGGTGTACTGTACATACAATCTGCGTTTGTTATAAAAGTAGGAGGAATGGTTTTCTTTTAACCTTAATCCTTTCTCGCTCATATTCCCGTTGCCTCTCTTTTTTATGAAATGTCCCAACCGCTGCCGCTGAAATTGAATGAGTTTCCATCGATTTCTCAAACGTTAAGATTACCACCACCAGTTCCAACAAAACATACCGAGATGCTAATATCGAATTGGCCACCATCTTCATCAGAATTCACGATAAACTCAACCACCTTCCCTGTCATTCTTTGTCAGCAACAAACAATACTAGCAGGTCCAACCGGTAAACCCGTACCCAATAGGCGTGGTAGAAAACGGTTAAGCATTATGCCATCCAGCAACTTATACAATATATAGATCATATAAGTGCTGCTAAGGGAAAACCTGTCACCAGCTTTCAATGTCCAGTTTGCTTACTGAGTGTAGTCTAGAGAAAATCTATTATTGGGCTTCCAATTACCGGGGACGTCTAAAGCGGAGCAGATTCTTATAATATATATTTTTTTGAATTAACTTTAGGGTTAGGGTCATCTTATATATATTGGGGTTAGGTTAGGTTTTAGGTAGTTATATATAAGCAAAATTGCTTTCCCGACATTTTTAATTAACCTACCCGAGGTAGGTTTAGACTGCCGTTTTTTGTATTTTTCAGGTTTTTCGTTTTTATTTCTTGTTTTGCTTCGCCGGCGATCATCAAATTCTATAATTTGATTGGTCAGATATCACGTGATTCTGCTCCGCTTTAGACGACCCCCAATTACAGTCAACCCGAACTGCATATTCTGGAAGGTTTTGTTCGGTATAGAGAGGGTTCGTATGGGTCTGACGTAACAACCTGTGCGTATCTGACGCAATTAATTAAAAGTATAATAAAGTATATTAATCATTTAGTATAAAAATAAAGTTTTAGTTGATAGATGACGTAATTACTGATTTATAAATATGATTTGTCTTCGCGTAGTAATTTTAAAGTAATTCCTTAATATGTTGAATAGAACTTAATGATCAATGATTCTAAAGCGCTACAATTAATAAACCTTTTCTATATTACAAATACAGAAAAAAACACATATTCAAATGGCTTCACCATGTTGATCAGTTTAGAAAGAAAAAAACTATTGTAAAATGTTAAATGAATTTGTAATAAAACGCTAATACTATGTTGAACCAAAATCAAGGATCGTTTAATTATACTACTATAATATTCACCAATGTAATTCCAATTATCTGGCAGGTACTAAAGATAGGATCCAAAATCCAAACCTTCCTAAACCTTTTAGGTTTAGAATATAGTATTGGTTAGTTTTGAATTAGATATTTTTTATCTAATTCCCAAATCCTAAACTAAAACCTAAATCCTAACCAATGCTAAAATCCCAAACTAATACTAAATCCCAAGCTAATATCAAAATTCAAACTAATAGTGAAATCTCAAAACTAAATTAATATATATAATATAATTTTTTATATATAGTAAAACTTTTATAAATGTATATACTTAAAACTAAATTTTAATAATATATACTTAAAGAACAATAAGAAAAAGTATATTTATAAAAGTTATTTATATTTTTTTTTCTTTTTTTTTTTTCTGTATTAGCCTTGTTAGTATCTTTATTAGATCAAAGCAAATTGTACAAGTACATTCTAAACTATCTAAATTGTAGATCTGATATTACTCAAGTATGGTTTATCTTATCAGTTAAGACTATTGTCTGTATCAAAAACTATACCAAGCTAGTTAGCAAAACTATAACAATATAGTTTCATTTTAAAAAATTTTTAACTATTTTAAATTGATAATAATTTCTTTCTAGTCTATCATTCTCTTTACAAATATAATCTATTTCTAATTTTCTGTCAATACAAAATTTAATTCTATTTTTTATTATTGTATTATTGTCAAAATTCTTTTGGTTTTATTTAATCTTCTTTTCCTCTTTTTTCAGTTTATTCTTTTTTTTTTAATTAGTATTCTAACTCTTAGGAATTTCTCTAAATTCTTCCCTTTGTTTTTCTTCTTCTATTTTATGGTTTTATATTCTTTTTCTTTTTTCTAAAAGCTTATTTTGAAGGTCTTCTTAAGGAGCATTTTTCTATAATCCTTCTCTCTTTCCAGATCTCTTGAAGCTATTTTTAGTTTTTTTATTTCTAGGTTTTAATTAGTATGCTTTAGTTTTTTTTCTTTTTTGTCTTAGGTTTGAGTATTTTCCTCTTTTTTTTTTTTTTTTAAGACTTAATTTTTTTTCTAGAAATTTCTCTTGTATTTCAATAAAACTTTTCTAATTCTTGAATAGTTCTACTAAAATTCTTTTTACTATCTCTAGCACTATGCCTTTTTTTATTTTTCCAATTCTTGATTTCTTTGATCTTCCTATTGTTATATTTTGTATTAGATTTGTATCAATAATTTATTAAGATCTAGACTATTGAATCTATTCTACTAGTAGATCTTTTCTTTTTTTCTTCTAGTTCTTACTAATACTTTGTATATCTTTATTACTTGCTTGATATATAATTTCTATTATCTAGTCTATTATATTCCTCTGTAAGTTTTTGTTTTGTTTACTATTATGTTTTTTGTTCTTTTCTGAGGTTGTTAATAGAAGTTTCTTTTTTGATTTTTCTTTTCTCATTATATTAACTTGCTGTGACAGTTTTGACAAACTCTTTAAATTGTTATGCTAATATCTTCAAAGCTATTTTGTTATGTTGTTTTTATTAAATTTTCTTTGTTTTTGAAGTTTTTTGTTCCAACCTGTTTCTAATTTTGATTTTATTTTAGCAACTTGTTTTTTAGCTTTTGTTATCTTTTTTCTATGATTTTATTTTTTTATTGAATTTGCATCTTTTTTTGATTTTTTTTTTCTCTTTATGCTAGTTCTTGTAATGATTTTAACAGATTTTTTAAAATATTATACTAATTTCTTCAATACTATTTTGTTATACAGTTTTTGTCAAGTTTTTTTTTGTTCTTGGAGTTTCTTGCTTTAATTTGATTCTATTTTTGACTTAATTTTAGCAGCTTGTTTTTCTATTATTTAATATTTATTTTATTTTTTTAGCTATGTCTAACTCAATCATAATACTATATATTTCTTCTTATATGATAAATATAGCTGGGTCTTTTTTATTTTATATTGCTACTTCATAGTTATAATTATTTCTTTTACTAAGTACAAGTTCTGTATAGTCAATTTCATATTATTTGTATTGCTATAGTTCTACCTGAAGAGTTTTTATTTTTATCTCTGCTTTTTCTTTTGTAATAAGTTTTTTTCAGAATATTCTGCCAATATTAGATTTATCAGGATATCTTTATTTTTATCAAGTACTTCTATTTGTACTTTAAATTTTTTTTGATATCTTAATTATTTTTCTAGAATATTTTGTTAAATTTTGCTTTATATAACTTGTTGTTTTTCTGTTGTTGTTGTTGTTTATTACAATTGTTTATTATCTTTGTTTATATTTGTATATAGTTTTTGGTATATTTTTTTTGTTTATTCTTTATTATGTATTGTGATTTGTGTATTAGAATAGTATCATTTATCATCTGATTTTTTTATCAGAGAATTACTCTTTCTCCTCTCTTTTACTATATATTTTGATTAAGGTTTTATATATAATTTTAAATTTTTTACTCTCTCCCATCTAAAAAATCACTTGATTTTTATTATATCTTTTACCAAAACAGATTTATATTACAGGGTCAAGGCCAATTTTCTAAAAATTTGCAAAATATATATTTTCTTCTATATCTTTGCTTCTTCTGCTCTTCTTACTTAAGTTTTTTAAAAGATTGTTAGTTTTTTTATTTATTAAAGCTTTGAGTTAGTTGCTTAGTAGTTTTTGTATATTTTTTGTAGTTTTTTTTATTAATTTTACTTTGTAAATTTGTGTTTTGATAATTAATAAAAAGAGTTTTATTAGTTGTAATGAAAGATTATCTATATCATTAAACCTGAATTTAAATATATTGTTACAGTATTGTGATCTTCTTAATAGCAGTACTATAACAATGACTTGGCTACAAAAATCTTTCACAAATTATAGCAGTATTCAATAGGTAAGTATAATTTCTACATCAATTAGAAACTATATTCTTCTGTCTGTAGCAGTTTAAGTAGACAATAGTTTATAGATAAAATATATATTTTATTAAGAGAAATAAGATAGACTATCTTTAGATTCCTATTTCTAAAGAATCCTATAATACTACAAAAAAAAATTAGAAAAAAGAGAAGTCTAGATCTAAAAGCGGATAGTAAGCAGGTCTAATATTAACTTGAGAAAATTTATATCCTTTTATATCTTAAAGCTAATTGCTAATTATTGTAGCTAAGCATAGTTTACTTAGTGCTAAGTGTAAAATTTAATTGCTAATTATTAAGTGTTAAGCACTAATCATTAATTACTAAGTATTAAGCATTAAATGTTAATTACAAATTATTAATCACTAATCATTAATCACTAATCATTAATCACTAATTATTAATCATATATCTATTAAATTCTACTTTAATAATAACTAAATAATAAGATAATAAAATATTAAAATAATAAAATAATAAGAAAAAAAATAATAAGATAATAAACAGATATATAACAACACTCTTTTTGCCGATCATCAAAACACAAATTTTTACGGAAAACCAAAAACACAAAATCAACAAAACTCAAAAACAGCACTAAGAAGCAAAGCTTACATGACTAAGTAAAAAGAAGGAAGATACAAAACAACACTCTGTCTCTTAGGAGACTAGAGTTGAGAAGTCAAAATCTATAGAGATATAGAAAAAAAACTTGGAAATACAGCAGTTTTTTGTTGTCTATAAGCAATTTTTTGGGGAAAGCACTTGATCCTGTAGTGCAGATTTGTTGATGTGATACAACTATGCAACACGTAACAAAAGAAAAACAACACAAACACATAAAGCAACACGTGACAAATACAACAAGAAAAATAACAACAATAGAGAAGCCAAATCACGTGAAGCAAACTGAAAAAGAAATTTTTGGAAAGAAACAAGAACAACAAATTTTAGTAGTAGCAAAATGTGCACTAGAGAATCCATTAGCAGAAGTAGACAAAGAGGAGTTAGAAGAATATAAGCAAAAATATAGAAAACAATACAGCAAAGACACAGAAAAAGAGTTAGACTACAGACGCACAACTATATTATGAAGAGCAAAATTGAGATACTCTTGCCAAATATTACCAAACCAGAAATCTATACACTAG